TCTAAGGATTTTACTTAAGATAAAAAAACCATATGGATTTCTTTTTAATTATAATAATATATATATATAAATATATATGTATAATATTAGTACTCGTCCAGTTTTTGTACCCTAACGGGTCAGGTGGACACCCGGGGCAAACCGGCACCAACGTCTACTCCTCTATTTGGTTGGGTGTTCGCAGCGATGAAAAAAAGTTCTACCTGGTCGAGCAGTCACGGCCCAGGGGAAGTGAGCGACGGACAGCGGCTACCAAATGCCGGACGCTTTTTTAATATGGATGGGGAGAGGAAAATCGGACTTACAATGTGATATCAGTATGGATGAACGGCATCGGTGTAAGTTGCTTAGGATGACGGTACAGCGTTATTCGATTTTAAGGCCGAGCGGTAATACAAATACCGGCGCGCACGAGCTCACACTGCAAAACCCGGGCACGAATTTAATTGGCACACCGAAAAAGATTTTAATTGCACATTCATGAACTATTAAAAGTTATTATTGTATAAATAAATAATACAGGTTTATACGACATAAATAGTTGTTAAGCGTGTATTTATTTACTTAATTGTAACTTATCTCAATAATATACATAGATATTTTGATAAGTATAGCAATATGTATGTTCTGGATAATAGTGAACAATAATAATTGAATTGTTATGTATGATTAACATAAAATGCGGATTTCCACACGGGGAGTATATTAAGCTATGTTAAACTTATTTTTCTAAACTAAATAAAATAACTACTAATCAACTACCAACATCTAAATTTCATCTAAAAAATGAATTAATAATATAGTTTGTACCCGTGTAGAAATCCGCATTTAAACACATTATGTTCTAAATAATTAAAATATTTACACGTTTTATTTTTATTTTACAAATTATTCTAACTGATTAATGATTATAACCGTAAAAATACCCAGGATCATATTATGTAAATACCTTACTTACAAGAACGTCAATAGTTTGTTAATTTAGGTGTAAGACTAGATATCTCTATAACCGTCCTTTTTTGTTTGTCGACGTTAAGTTTTAAAAAAAGTTTATAGTTAATAGAAAACAATATTATGTGGATTTTTTATATATTTAAAATTGTCCAATTTGTATTAAACTCTTAAAATCCTTTGTTTACGTTTTTTATTATTTAAAAAAATGAAAAATTACTATTAAAATAAAAGAAGTCTCTGGTGTACGTGGTGTTTTTTTTAATTATCATTTTTGTAATTATTTATTTTAGGGGGGGGGGAAATGTTAGCGATTTAAAAAAATTAATCATTGCTCGTAACTTGGGGCTTTAGAACAAACTAAACTATCCATAATGCTTTAGAACATAATTAAAATTAATCCTAAAATCAAAGTCATGTGGACGTATACCACATTCCCTGGGCGGGGACTTTATACGTCAAGCCATCCATGCCGTTTTCTATCACGTAATAGATGGGGGGTAAATTGATACCCACTTTTGGACACTGTTCTTCCTTTTTCCAGTTGCAGATCATTCCCAAATTATTGAACCAATTGTTGCTCTTACCGGTCTTACGATCCTTGTCTTTTCCCGAATGACCGCTGGCACCTTTGTTGTTGTCTTCGCTGCTGCTGTTGTTGCCACGGCAGCTTTTGTATCCGCCCTTAGGTGTTTTGTCATCATAGAACTCGATTTCGTTCTTATTAAACGACATCTTCGGCGATTACTGAAAGTCGTTTTGATGTAGTGTAATATGTTTTAAATGATGTCGATATGATCAAATAGAATAACAAAACTAATACTGAACCAATACGGTGCAATTGCAAGCTTTATACAGTCCCTGGCCGTGGCGTCCCGTCACCACCACCTAGATTTGTGACAAATGACACGTGATCTCTGTTAAGGTCACGACAATACAAACAGAAGCATTTAATAAACCAGGACAGGTTCATGCTAGTATGAGCAGTCACGAGGCAACCGCGACAATCCGAATGCGTTCAAAATAAACATATGTTTAATTGGAATACGTCGCACATTGTTATAATATTGTGTGGCTTTAGCGTTTCAATTAAATTAAGTGGTCTTTTGTATTATATAATTAATATACATCGCGCAATTTTACTATTTACATTCCTTATAAACAAAATGCGAATACTCCAAAATGACATATTATATAACATGTTTTTACAATATATTGAAATGAACCACGGATAATAAGTCAAAATCATACGCAACGTTATACAATTATTACACATACAATACACAAAAAATAATATTATTTTTAACTAGCTGCATTACCCAGGTTTGCCCGGAGTTATACGATTTGGCTAATGCAAAAAGGGTCATTATCACTTTTATTTGATTTTGAGTAAATTAAAAAAAACATCCTAGTTCTTTGTGAATTTAAGATATTTTAATGATTTTTTTTTAGTGTTCACATAGAACATGTGTGTCAATAACACAAATTGCTTTTGACTCAAGATATTATAGTTAAAATAATAAAAAATAAAAAATGAATTGGATTAAGGTCCTTTTTTGCATGTTTGATAAAAAAAGTCAATTTCATGTCAAAATAATGTAATTTACATGGAAAACGTAAATAACAATAATAGCAAATATCATTGTATTATTATATTATATTATTATAGTACGTCATATAGTTTTTTTATATCAAGTGATAATAATACAAAAAAAACATCAATTGCTAGCAGAATAACACTACCTACATGATAATAAAAGACGAAATAAAAGATAAGTGATAAAGCAGACGAGATACAACAATGGAAATTTAGTTAATTCTAGTAAAAAAGGACCTTAGTCTCTTCTCGCATAAATCAGAAAATGAAAAAGGCGTTTTCTAGACCAGGGAATCTCTGATGAAGGTCTTTTCTATCATAAACGTTTAATCTACCCCCTATTAGTAAAAATCCGCAGTTAACTTGTTTTTGCCAGAAATGGTGTTAAGGACCCATTTTGCATGAACCAAATCATACAATACCTATGTCTATTTTTTTTATTTGGTCCTAGCTAACGGAGAGTTTGCGTTGGTTGCTGAAAGCTATATTGTATACCTTTGTCGATTCTAATGTAAAATTTTCAAATAACAAATAGGGAATTCAGTAATCTGAAGTTGTGATCTATAAGTCGTGTACAAAAAATCAAAGAATAAATGTATCGCCCGGGTCTTCAAGATACAATTGTAGCTGCTGATACAAGTTTATTAATGTATTTATTTGTTTAACCACACTTATATGATACTATACAAAGATTTATTAAGAACTTCCTATATTACTCCTATGACTGCTTAAAAGTGTATTATAGTTCTGGTTTTAAAAGTAATAAGAAAACTGATCGGATTTATTAATTATTTTTTTGATTCTAGCATGAAATTATCTGGGCAATTATTTAATTGCAATTATAGCTAGGTATTACAATAATATCTTTTATGTCCAACTCTCTATTATAGGAAGAGATTTTGGGACCAAATTCTAACGAGGACCTTGCCAAGATGCAGAACAAGGTTTTAGGTGTTTTTGCTCTAAAATCACTTAAGACCGAGTAAAACGTATTCTGCGTAACTATATTTAAATGAATATTTTATTTTAAATCGCTGTCAAAAATGCTGTGATTGTTTGAAAAATAAATTAACTCCCAAAAAGAGTCTTAATTACTGAACTAATAATTACATAGGTATCACAGTTGAACCTTTAAATTAAGATTTTAAAAAAAATTTCCTATACCTAACGCCTTAATAAATAGGTTGTATAATGTCCTCTTAAAGTACTAATCGTATAAAGTTAAAAAACAAAAGTCTAATAAAAAAAATTATCATTTATATTTGTAATATGTGTAATACAATAGTTTGTAGTAAATATTTTATGGGTTTTTTCATGATTTTGAAATTATTAATAAATACAATTTTTTTTTTAAAAACATGCTTTTCTAAAAAATAAAAAATAATTTTACTACAAGAACAATTTACCAAACAATTATAGCACATTTTATTTAAAATTTCAATCACTTTGAAAACTTTTGAAAATGAACTACAATTTTAAATATTGTTAAACATCTTTAAGTTTTGACTAGAAAGAAAAGCGTGTGCCCTATTTAATAAAGTCCCTAATATTTTTTTCAGATAATGTTTTATATTGTACATTTTTTTGTAATTTAAATTTGGTTTAATATTAGTGTGACACATACATTTCATAATACTTAACTCAATGAATTTGAACTTTGTTCAATAGTGCCCACGCTTTTTTTTTTAGTCAAAACTTAAAGATGTTTAACAATATTTAAAATTGTAGTTCATTTTTAAACGTTTTCAAAGTGATTGAAATTTTAAATAAAATGTGCTACAATTGATTGGTAAATTGTTCTTGTAGTAAAATTATTTTTTAGTTCACTTTTTAATATTTTTTTTTAGAAAAGCACGATTCTAAAAAAGTTCTTTTTTTATATATTAATAATTTCATTTATTCTTTGGTACGAACTCAATAATTGTATAAAATACCGACAATAGGTCCTTTTTCGCTTTCTGCATCACATATACATAATTTTTTCATTATGAAAAAATCGTAGTTAAAAACTTATCAAGGATCCATGGTAAGCAAAAAAAAATATTATTGTAAAACCAATATTTTCTTAGCGTTCCATCGAAGTTAAAATTAGCGACTATTGTATAGTATATCTTGATATGGACATATCTATCAACTATAATGTCTATGAACCTTTTAAATTATGATTTTTTTTCAATAATCGGTAACACATCTTATTTGTATGTATGCCAAACGGGTTTTTTTTTAATTCTTTAAGTTGAGCTAACAGGTTATTCATAGCTGTGCTTCACTTCTCGTGTCTATAGTTATGATAAATTTATTGTTGTTTAATACTATTAAACAGTCACTACATTTATCTTAGTTGTTGTAAGCAACGGCAAGTTGTATGTTATCAATATTATCATACTGTATTACTGTACCTACACATTCTATAATAATAATGTTGTTTATATGTACACATGACGGTAATCTTAATAGCCATTCGCTTTACGTCTTATCTACAAACTATTATCTGAATTTTGAAGTGCACCATTTAATTTATTAAAAATTAAATATTTGAATCGTTCACTTAATCTGTTGTCAATTGGTTTACTGGCCAACCCGCGAAACGTGAAGTGAATCATTGAGTTTGTAGTAGACTTTAAACTTTCAATAAGCACACCTCTACAAATAAGCGGTAAGTTATAAGGAACACTAAACGAAAATTTATTTTTATCTAATTTAAAATAATATCTATACCGCGATTATTTTGTCAATTTAAAATATGCAGACATTATATTTTACTTGTAAAATTAAATAATAATTTATTTAGATATAATAATAATAATATTTTATCACTGGATGTTATGATAAGAATAAAAACATAACTAATCCACCATTCCTGTTAAGCCCCCAAATTATTTAAAATCTAAATTCTATGTAAACTCGATTTATTGTTAATATTTTGAATCACTAAACTGCGACAATTGAAAACAAACGAATGATATTACACATGATAATTATCTGTAATATAGATTTTTGCTAGTAAAAAATTAATTGAACTAATCAAATAATGTATTTTTCTAAAAACGGAGTCCGTTTAAATAAAACTTTTTCATTTTACTTTCCTCACTTTTTTTTTAATTGTGATTCTGCTGGTTGATGATGAGGAATGCAGCATCCTCACAATTCAACAAAAACATATTAAATAAAAATGTTTTTGAAGTAATGAAGTAATGATGTAATAAGTCACATGTAGAACTTCAAATTTGTTTTGATATCGTTTTCTTTTTTTAATTATAAAATGGGTTTTATAAAAAAAAATCCCCCTAAAATACAATTGTATCAATTGTATCTGTATTTATTTACAATGGACACTTTTATTTTCGTAATTTATAAAATAAAATAAATTATAAATATTTTTTACATTTATATTGATATTTTATGGACTTAATATTATTTATATATACTGCTGAAATGTTCAGACGTCGTAAGTATTAGTATAAAAACGTATTTTCAATTAGGTAATTACTCAAATGATAAACATTAATTATTTACTTCTACTTGGATATCACTAAAAGGTCGACCGGTCATATAGATAAAGTAACCACTAACCAGTAACGTTACCAAATTCTGAACAGTATAATATAATAGTGGGGTTTGCTATCAGAGTCACTCTACAGTACTGTTGAATTAAACTTTAAACCTCTACCAAAAATTGATAAATTACCTGTGTAAGTCTAAAAATTAAAATTATTCAAGGGAATACCATATTATTATAACACAGTACATTACGATTTTTAAACAAACCCCAAAATGTATACATTTTATAGGATGTTTTCTCTGAACCGAATGTATTCTTATGCTTAAAAGTGCCGTCTGCATAAATAGTTTAATAAGAGTACATACATTATTTATGTTCTTTTCACACTAATACATTATAATATTTAGATTATGGTCATTTACCAAAAGAAAGAAATTGTTCGTCGTTATAAGTTTTAATTTCTTACGAGTTTAAAATATCATGTACATTTTGAATTTTATTGGTAGTTTTGATCGTCTGGCCAAATATATACTTTTCCGAAAGCAATATTCATATCGGGTTTATTTAAATTATCTGTATTAATTGTTTTACGCTCATTATGTATTAATTTATGTGGTCGTTCACAAATATCTTCTTGTGCTTTCCTTTTTAATGAATTACGAATTACTTGTCGTACCATAATGTTATTGTCGTCTTTTTCGTACCTATGATCTAAATGATTCTCTATAATAGTGCTGCCGTTTTTATCAGTTTTTATAAACGATTTACAATTTTTTTTTGTACAATTCCACTGTTGTACATCATTTTTTAAATAATAATTAATTCCTTGCCGTGTTGGCTCATCATCTTCTCTGGTAATGACATTTTGAAAATAAAAAACCATTAGTATTTTATACAAATTACTCGTATGCTAACTAATGCTTAGTTTATACCGAAGGCTAAGCTTAAAGTGAAATGTGATTTCCCCTGTCGTTTCTACAGTCATTCTATTTATTACCTTTGTCGATTGATAACTGAGGACGTATTCGGGCTATTGAATAAAATGTTGATAAATAACTGCGGACAACTTCATCATTTTTGACAATCCACACGATCTCATTAACATAAAAAAAATCCATAACATCTCAAAAATGTCATCTCTAGTATCCATTAAATATATTAAGTGTGTTCTCTAATTGTATTTTAATTATACAAATTTTAAATTATTTTTAAATAATTTAAAAAAGAAACACAATAAAATCGCTTCTCAGTTTCGCAAAAGAGTAACTATATTCAAAATTGTGCGTAGAAAATATTATTATAAAATAGCTACAAACGTAGCAGCTTTAGTTAAAAACTTTTAAGCACCTTTTTAATATCGTTTCGTTTTTTTAAGTATTACTGTGAACTAGATATTTTATATATTTTAATAATTTCTCAGGATCAAGATGAACTAGACGGATTAATCCGCTTATGTTATACATTTTGTAGCCTGTAGGTATCATGGCGGAAGACAAAACTAAGACCGACGAGAAATACTTGTTGAAAAACGGCAGGGTTCTTCTCAAAGAAATGTTCGATGGGCTGGCCTACAGTTATCCTGTATTCGACGTATACGCAGAAAGCCGCGTGGTCGGATTTCGACCCGTCAGTATAATAAATAAACACAATAATATATTTTTTATTTAACTACAATTTTTAATTATACATAATATTATATATGAATAGAGAAAAACAAAATATTTTATTTTGTAAATTTAGAAAAATCAATACAAAGTGAATCTACTTGGAGGCGGTGGGTCCGGACATGAACCCTATCCTTTTGGTAAGATCAGAGGTTCACATTATTCGATTAAAAAAATAATACTATTTATTCTAAGAAAAATATTATTCAAACATTGTTATTTGTAATTCTAGAGCTATTAGAAATATCCATACTGTCCACCTACAAAGCATTCACCACTGGGCAACATGGATATTTCTAAGAACTCTAGAATTAATTAAGCAATCCACGCAAAGTTTTAATAATAATGTTCGTTGCGGTATAAATAATAAATAGTTTCTTTGGGATATTTTACACTAACAACTTATATGCAATTTATTTAACTGTTTTTATTTTAATAATCATATAACTTATAAGTGTTGTTAAATAGTTACTACAATATAATTTCGTAATTAGAAGCGATATATTTTAGATTTTACCTTCTTCATCGCCGTCTTATCTCATACAAATGAGGTAGGCCTATAATGGCTATGAAGAGATACTTCTCTCCACCCATCACTGCATGTACCTGCTTTATCTACCCGTACACATGCGTGTCTTTTTTACAACATCTATCCAATTTGTCTTCGGTCTACCTCAACCTCTGAATCTCTCTATACTACTTTCACATACCCACTTTATCATTTAATTTCCTCCCTCATCTTTACACACTCAAATTATCTAAATTTATTGTCTATCGATTTCCATTAGAACTACCAAACTATTTATTATAAATTACTCATTGCTCATTTCCAATAATATTTAACTTGTTATAGCCGCTTCACCCATCCATTACGACAATATCACGGAGGCTATATAAATTACTTGTAGTTGTATTCTAGTATTGTACAGATTCTCTAAGCTCGCCAGTGTGTATGTTTCTTAGGATATATTGGAGATGGAATGCTTTCGGCTTCGGTCAGCGGTCATGTGTTTACATGCTGTTCATCATTAAATATTTACCAGGCAATAAAGTACTTGAATAATTACAACAGTACGTTTAAATCCCTAGATTTATTTATTTTTAAACATTATTTACTTTAATAAGCATTAATTGATATAAAACCATTATAGGGAACGCAGCTATTCTACTTATTGTGGCAAATTATACGGGCGACGTATTCAACTTCGGTTTAGCTTGTGAAAAAGCCAAGAAACTGGATAATATAAACGTAATAATTAAAACATGACCAGAGAACTTGATGACATTTCCAATTAAACCAAGTGTGGCTTTTTAGGTAGCCGAACTAGTGGTTGCCGACGATTGTTCGAGACCTGGCGGCAAAGTGGGTAAGCGGGGAATGTGTGGACTGTTGTACGTCATAAAGGTAGTAAACCATTTTATTGGCTATTGCTTATTATTAATATACCTCAGATCATGGTTTTTATTTTGTATAGATATTGGGTGCGATGGCCAGACAAAACACTAGTCTCGAAGAACTGTTGTCAGTCGGTAAGGAAATAAACAACAAGCTGGCATCACTGGGCATAAGCGCTAGCTCCTGCAACACCCCGGGCGAGGACCCTTCGTTTCTACTACAACGAGGCGAATATGAATTTGGAGTTGGATTACACGGCGAGGCTGGCACATCGAGGATTAAAGTCAGTTTTCATAGTTAGTTAGATAAAAACAAATTTCTATACTGCCTAACTTGCGACTATAATCGATTTATCACAAATTATAATGTAAGGCAATAATGTACATCAATAGGTATATACTGGACGTTTGGTCTCCTTACATAGTACGTTATGTCCTCAATATTTATCGATTACTACTCATTCAACCTAACTACTACTAAAAATTAATATTCTGTGATTAAAACATATATTAGTTTAGAGGCATTAAAATGATAGTTGTGTATTGTTATAACTATAGATCAGACGGTCATTAGTCATTATCGGCTTTCTCATTTTAGGCATCCGATGTCAAAGGATTGATACATTTGGCCGTCGATAAAATATGCGGTACTCTGCGGATAAAAGAGTCTAGTACAATTTGTTTAATCGTAAACAATTTGGGGACCGTATCGCACATCGAATTGGGCGCTTTAGCCAAGTACACAAAAGAATATTTCAGTAAGTAAGAAAATAAAAAATAAAAATATTTTGCTTGTAATAGGTATTTAAGAATTACATACAACATGCGTATAGATTTTAAATCAATTTCCTAGTTTAACATTTTTTAACAACAAAAAAACAAAATTTTTTTACACATACGGTACACCTACTATAAATCAAGGCGGGACACCTTGATAATTTATTTTTAATTACTACAATTATATTAATTATTTTTATTATGATATTAATAAAATGTCATAAATCCTTAGAAGGGGTGAAAAGTTTTTTCTATTTTTATTTTTCGAGCGAAGAAATCTGAAAATTAGACTGAAGGTAGATTTTTTTTTTAGACGAGCTGAAAATCAACGTGAACCGAATGTTTGTCGGTACGTTCATCGTATCCTTGAATATGTATGGTTTTCAAATTAGCGTACTTGACGTAAGCAACAACCCGGAATGGGTCGATTTTATAGATGAAGAAACTTCAGCGTTTGCTTGGCCAGGAAATAACATGAGCGTAAAACTAACAAACAAAAGAAACCCGGCTGTCATTGAAATACCTACTATGGACCAAATAACTCCTAATGTAAACTGTTTTTTAGTTTAAATGGAAAATTTGGTGTTACCTACTCGGTCATTTTGAACTTAACCGATTTCGGCTGCTATATTAAGATAGCTTTATAGAGTTTTTAGATTAGTGTAGCTTGTATGCAGTAATTTAAAATTATGGGATAAAAAAGACTAAGATAGAAAAGTTGCATCTATTATGTCATTGAATTAAGAAGGTGGGAGTAAGTTAATAAATCGACGAAATCGTGAAGGAAATTTTAGGGAAGTTTTAAAGTAATTTATATGGGTCCAGACGCCAAATAAGAACGTTTGGAGCGACTCCCGCAATTTTTTTTGACAATTACACTGCATGTCTGTTACGATAAAAAGAATGTTCTCAGATTTTTTTTTTCGTTTATTATGGTTATGGTCGTAAAAAATCCTTTTCTTCTTGACATTTCTTTTTTATAGTATCTTTGAACAAAAAAAAATGATTAAAAATCTTTTTCTAACAATCTCAGCTTTCTGAAAAATGCATTTATTTTTTTGAGTAACATAAAGTCATTAAAATTGAGTTTATAATCTGAAAAGTTGGTTTTTCGTGTTGCCCAGAAGTTGAATATTTTTTTCAGAAAGCTAAAATAATTTTACATAAAACGTGTAAGTTTCAAACTAGGTTTTCCATAAGAAAGCTTTGAAAAGCAAAAGTTAAAAGAGTTGAAATTTCATAGAAAAGTCGAAAAACGACTACAGTAATCAAAATAGTTATGTGTAAAAATAAGATAATTTTCCGTTCTTGAAATTAATAGTAAAGAATTTCAGTTTTTGTAATCTAAGAAGTTTCAATCGACTACTCTTTCGTTTGTAGTTAGGCGTGAGTATATCCGAAATCAACGCTTCAGCGTTGAAATACATTTTGAAGTCTGTAGCTGAAGTACTGTTGCAAAACGTCGAGTATCTAAACAAGTTGGATCAAGAAATCGGCGATGGCGATAACGGTTCCACGATATCGCGATTTGCTTCTGGTAAGTGTCGATCAACATTAACCATTATTTGTATAATATTTCTATTATATACGCATTAATTGTCGAAAAATATATATACTATTATTTGGCTTTTTACCAGAATAAGGCAGATCAAGTCGTTGTAATTAAAACTGACGTTTACAGAACTGCTGGTCGTTTTGGATAGATTACCTTTGACGCATCCAGCTAGCGTTTTGGACTCGTTAGCGCTGATATGTGAAGACAAAATGGGCGGAGCATCGGGAGCCCTGTACAGCTTATTGCTGACCGGAGCCGCCGGATACTTGGCTTCGGCGGACCAGTTGGATTGGACGGGAGCACTGGGCCGAGCACTAGAAACGGCCATGAGGTATTCGAGCGCCAGGAAAGGGGACAAGACCATGGTGAGTCGGAAAAAGTTGTTAGGTGGACGATATTGTATAGGTTTCATTAAAACGTATGTCGTATCATCTGCAGTTCGACCCCATAATAGCGGTCCATGAAGTTTTCCGAGAGAACAACGAACAACTGCTGGCCAACCCTAACCCTGGGGTGTATGCTGGTGTGTTGTCCAAAGCTCTACGGAAGGTGAAGAACGTTTGTAACGCTTTGAGAGAAATAAAAGCCGAGTGAGTTTCCCACGCCCCTCGCCTTAAAAAAAATTTCCCACTCGTACAAAACACATTTAAATAAATTAATAAAATATTGCTACGTTCGACTTGTTTAGGTTCGGCAAGGCGTCTTACGTGGAAAGCGTTACGTCAGTCGGCAAAATGGACGCTGGGGCTCACGGAGTGGCCTTGTGGTTTGAAGCCTTGTGCACCGCATACGCGGACACCTGTACCGCTTGTGAATCAAAAACACCCCATACTATGTAATCACTACTATGTTAACATTTAATACTATAGCTAATAATATTATACAAATAAAAAGTATGTTTTAGAAACTGAAAAGAAACTAATTTCAAAATTAAAAATACGTAAATAAGTATGGAGAGGTTGGGTTTTACTCATAAAAATTACTATCAATAATCGCGATTTAGTTTATTCTCGATTCATTCGTCACTACTAGACTAATGCTAGATGGAAATTCCAATAGAAGTCTTAAATAAAATAAAAAGTCTGGTACTGTCTGGCCCCCATATAAGTTCCAGTACACCTTCTTTTAGGGTCTTTGTTCTACTGTTCATCGTTTACATTAGTGGACCAAGTCCTATAATGTTATGCGAAACAATGTAAGTATTAATATCAAACAACCCCTTACACCCAAATTTTATTTTAAGTATTTTTAGGTTATAAAAACTTTGTTTGTCCTTTTATAATTTCATTCGTCCTTATATAATAAATTCGGGAACACTGGTTACACCACAATCGACGAATAGATCAGTTATTTTAGTTTGTAGTTTGGTACTTCACAGCATAGAATCTTAGAATCTATATTTTTTTTTTGCCTGAATAAATAAATGACTTAAGCATTACACTGTAGAAAACGAGTCTTCGCTCACGTTTATAGATAATATCAACTACACGATATTGGTCATGACAAAAATGTTTTCCGGGGCCAAACTGGGCTCGAGAGTTACTGGACAAATGCTGATAACATTTTAAATTATAGGTCGAATACTCGAATAATATGATCATTAATTTGTTTACTCGTGTCTCGTGGAACAGTTCCACCATTAGTAAGATTCCTATAGACTATAGTCGACTTAGTTTTGTACGTAACATTGTACATATATTGAACTATAAAGGTACTTTAAATATTATAATATTGATTTCACAGTAACTAATGGAAAAAAAAACTAGATTTTATATAATAATACAACTATTAATAATTTATTTGATCATCAGGTTGTATTAACATTTTTCAATACCTAATAATTATTTCTTATTCGTTTTAATTAAAAAACATCAAGCTTATTTTAAATGGACACGGTTTTTGAGTCAACAGCTAAAGGCTAATACAAAGTAAAAACTAAAAACTAATTGTTTATAGATCAACGAGGTAGTTTCATTCGCGTAAAATATCAGATTAAGATAAGAAAAATTATCTATTAAAGTTGAGCACTTTTAAGTATATTTTTTACTAATATTATTTAACAGAGAAAAACAGAAACGCGCATTTATTAAGAATTACTATTTATGAATATGTTTGTCATTGGGCAGAAGATCTATCTGGAATTAGCGTCATCATACCAACTATACTCAGTCAGGTAGGGGAAAGAAGGAAGAAACATATTTTTCGTAGTTTAAAAAAGGTATTTTTCTGGTTTCGTCACCGTACTCTTTAATTAGTTTTACTAATCTGTTTTTTTTAATGTAAGAATTATCAAAATGTTATACAACCTAATAATTGCTTGATTTCTTACTTACGGAAGGGTAAAAAAAAAAAAAAAACAATGCAGTTTATATGTTTTTTTATATGACAAACTAAGTTAATATTTACAGACACGGACTGGACTTAGGGACAGCCGACATATAAGCAAACTATGCCCACTGCTCACTAGACCGTTAATTCGTCTAGGTTTACGAGGCCGGTCTATTCGTAAGGTACTTTATTAGACTAAAAATTAAAAAAAAAAACCCTTCCCCTTTAAAATCGAGAAAAACAACCGAAAAATAAACCAAAAATTAGGGAAGTTTTTAAGTTGCTATGTGTGGTTTATACTTCTACCCTCAGATTCGCATCGAAGCGTTTATTTAAATGTGATTTTATCACTTTCAGCTATAACCTCCTATAGACCTGTGACCTCTCCATCCCCACTATGCCCCGGTCCTACTGCATTTGCCTTATGTATGAGAATAAGCTTCGAACGATTGCAGAATTTAAGGAGGGAACTCGGGACAAACTCGCAGAACTTGATGCGGCCACTTGTGGGAGAGTCATCACTAACTTCCTTGCACGTGTAAACGCTTGTCGCCGAAGACGTGGTGCACATATGCCTGATGAAGACTTTCATACGTAAATGGGAGGATATCAGCTTGTACTTGATGCATACAATTTTGTAAAAAAAAATGTTTTTAATAAACTTTTGTAAACATCAAATTTGTCCATGTTTATGAAGCACCCTAACTTATATATACACGACATATTTGATATTAGTCGACACAACGAAATGTTATTATGCAACGTAAACGTGATATTTTATTGTTCGTCTTCTTCGTTTTGAACTGATACATCTTGTATATTATGTAGGTATAGTATTATATTGTACACAATCGAGTTCATTAACTTTGTACTAATGATACAAATAATTGTTTTATGGCACACACTAGATAATTGTTCATAGATTAAACATACTTGCACCTAAATTTAACGTCTAGAATATATTTTATATTATACGGTATACCTACCTATATAATTATGTCTTCAACCTTAATACAAAAGAAATTAAAAAGTTTACCAAATAACCTATCGGTAAAAATAATTCTAAGGCATGTATATCATAGCTCAAATATTAGCTCTAATATTGTAATAACTTATAAGTATTGATACAAATTTGATTTGTTTTAATATCATAATAATATGTTTAAATTGGCTAAACATGTATATCATACAGTATTGAACATCGGTAACTATTAGATAGAAGCATACAAATCGTATATTATGCGTGGAATGCATTTAAAAGATAACACTATTAATAATAACTCACAAATTGTATACATAATTCAACGGGTACCTAATACATTAAAATTACATAAATACTCGAGCACGTCAATACACAAGGTCTAAATTTTAGACATATTGGACTCTACTATATATGTTTCTAAGTATACGATAATAATTATGACAATTGACAACGATATTGTTTTGAGATCACATGTTGCCTTTAAAACAATCCATGAAAAACGAACCGATTGTCCGGTATACATGAGGTCGAACGCTTGACAGACCATGTGATTCGTCAGGATAACTCTGTTAAAACACAAATAATAATTTGTTTAAGCATAAGAATTAATCAAATTGTTAGACCCTAATAAAGAATAAGCAATATCATATAAATAAAAACCCTCATGACTCGCAGTTCAAATTTATTCACATGCATATTAAAATAATAATAACAATAAAAATATAAAAGTCAGGTTCAAAAGTTTTGTAGACAACGGGATTAGCATTAGATCACTGACCGGTACGTGCCTATACTTTTAAACTGAAAGTACATGATATGTACTATGTAGTGTTTAAATATAATTTACGTACATTGGGGATCAGACGTGTAATGTGCCTACATCGGTTAATGATAATCCCGGGTAAAAGCTACATCGAAAATCCAAAAAATACATAATAACGATATAAAATATCAATAATAATGTATTACTTATAGGTACCAATTATAGAGTAAATTATTAATTTTAAGTAACAATAATTTTTAGATGTTGCAGTTCCCATTTATTTGGAAATAATGATTTAAAATCGTTTAAATTCGTATGAGGGATATTGAAAACTTGATAACATAATATTAGTTTACAATTTCAAGTTGTTCTAGCGTTAAACTGAGGCATCGATTTCAAATAAGATTAAGAACTCGAGTACAATCGAAGAACACTCCAGCCGAAATATAATACAGCGTTGTTGCAGTGGGTTCGTGCTAGACGGCGAGTCAGACAATTGCTTATATTATAATAATATTTAACCTATACTATTATACTGTATATTTTATTCAATAAAACAAAAAACTAGTTTAGTCCTATACAGCGAATGGCTTATCCATTGAGTTTAATGAATAATTTGTTATTATTATTTTTACCTGTTGTCTAAATAATATCACTTTGTGTTCCAGTTCGGCCGATAACATCATTGACTGTTGGTAATGTACGTTGTCGTCGAAAGTGCCGTGTATCAACATGTATTTTTTATCGCGCATCTTCTCAACATGTGTCAATAGACTACCGTTTCGGTAACCCTGTCCGTTTTCTGTGATCAATCCCATGTATCGTTCCGTATAAATAGTATCTGTCATCATTTAAAATCCAATTTGCATTAATATTATACTACTACGATTTTGAGAGACTAAAATTAAAACGCCTAAGCAAATTAATGCAAACTGCTTGGAAACAACTACCGGTAAATTGCAGAACGTGTATTAATTATAATTTATAAAACACAATGCATACAAGTTAAAATTAATTAAATATGTTTTATATTAGGCCAAGTCGGGTGTCCTTAAAGTTCTATTATAGGTATATATTAACTATTAGAATGATTCTGATGAAGTTTGAATTTGAAATTGTTATTTACCTAATAATATAGCTGTATACTCAGGGTTACTGTAATAACAATTATAAAATTACCAAGATAAGAGCGTATTGTAAATTGGATTTCGACCATTTTGTCTTTCAATACTTTTACCATCGCATGTAGTCGAAAATATTTGCTCAATGTAGATTTCTAGTACATAATAAATACAAATAATAATCCCCCTGAACGACGCGACGGTTTGGAAATAAATTAAGTTTTTTTCAACCGGATTATATATTAGTCGAAGGATTTAATACAACACCGAAACGCTAATATCCTTTGATATTTTAACGGCTTCGGCAACCGGCCAAAACCTTAGTAACTTATGGTAAATACGATAAAGTATGACAAGCTTGTGTAATGCATCGATTTTTTAGTAATCAAATACCGTAATAAATCCAATCAGTAACGGGAGCTACGGACAGTGCGCATTTGAAAATGTTTTTATCATCTTTTGCCAAAGCCATGCCGGCCGCATATCCACCATAACTCCATCCCCAGATCGCAGATTTGGAAGCATCGATGAACGAAAAACGACTTTGAAGGGATCTGGAAAAAAGTTTTTCGATGCATTATAAAGTACCTACTTAAAAGCTAATATGTCCGGTGTATTTATAGTGAAAAATGATAAAGTTATAAGATTGAATTTTTAATTTGTTGTACTTATATTATTACATAATATAAAGCTCATTTTCTAATGACAAAAATCCCCGAAAATACAATTCTTACTTAGCAACGGCTATCTGATCTTCGATCTCGTAAGTACCCAATTTTTTATAGTTAGCAAACAGATATTTATTGCTTTTTCGTCCAGATCCACGGCCGTCGATTTGAGCTATGATAACGTTTTGGCTCGTGCAAAAATATTTGTTCCAATCCAAAGAGAATTTGTTCACCGCCATATTAGACCCGGGCCCGGCATAACTGTAAGTTTTATTGATAATTAATTAGGTACATTCATTCGGTTATATCCGGATATTCTCACGTGTTGACGAGCATTGGATATTTTTTATCCGCGTTTTCATCTAGCATAGGTGGCAGTATGAGTTTCACGCGAGCTGTGTAGTTATCGTTTATGGGCACGTCAATAAAGGAAATCCTCGGCAAGATCACGGGTTTCAATTCTTCCTTAAGGTCGTTATTTCCGTTCCATTCCAAAATCTGTTCGCCAGTCTACATAAAAAAAATAAAAATCACACAACCTTCTTTTTACAACTTGCGACGGCATGATATAATTTTATGTACACTGAATGATGGCATTTTAGAAAGTTGTTGTAAAACCAACTATGTCGATAGTCGATAAAGAAAATTCAATTCGATTAGGGCTTTCTACTTCCCGTGATTAAAAAATACACGTGACATTAATATCCAGGTTTTAAGACCCGTGATTTTAAAATTATCCGCGAATTCGTGTATTTTTTTATTCACGTGATCACGTCTTCATGTATTTATTAAGTTATTAAAATATATCTAGCTAATAGGTAATTGTTCGTTGAGTGGGCAGTGAACCCAGCTCGTTCCCTTTGGTCATTCACATGACTGCCGCAGTTATAAATCAAGGACCCTACAAAAGATACGATCTGGTCAATTCGACAGGATAATTTTTTAGATCAAACGTCATATCAGGTCACGTGTAAACAGAAGACGTATCGTTTAACTAAATCCTGTTGGATCTCCATAGTTGCAATGCTAGCATTAGGAATTTCCCCCCTCCCCAACTATTACAGTACCTATCCACTGACTTTTTTTTTTATTGTTGTGTTAACCTTATAAGTGCAGGTGTTATTAGAACTCCGAAGACTTTCTAACTGCACCTATACACTAAGGGGACCTATGCGACGTACCGTTTTGACTATGTGAACTTCTGGGACGTTAGGTCCGCTGCATGTATGGGTATAATAGTTGCCGTCTTCGCTCATCACTGCTGCGTTGAATTTGCATTTTTTGTCACATGTCATGCACTCCATTTGACCCTTGCCTGACGCCAATACTCTGTACATGTACTCTTCTTCTGGGTTGTCTGCCGTATTGGCCATAAAATATCTAAATGAAACAACAACAGCAACCTGTACGTTACTACATCAAAGAAATGGAGCAGTTTTCTTCTTACACGTAATCGGATTTTATGTCCCATTTTAGAAGTTCAGACACTACAAACAAGCCACTGGTCAATGGACTCAATTGTCCACCGGGTTTCACAAGAGTAACATGCTTGTAAAACTCGCCGTTAATCTGTTTCTCTGGATAAATTATGGCAAGGGTGTTGTTTTTGCCCACTAAGGGTATTTGCGAGAAGTCTAACCACCCATTAATTTGTGCAAATTTTTTGACCTGCAAACAGTGTATTTTGATATTAGAACTTTGAGAACAATACTGATCGTTCTCTTAAATCAAAATTAGATACAAATAACATTGTACTTCTCAGTTAGTTAAGTAAAAACTTAATATTTCAAAAAAATCGAGATGATTGCCTCCCTTAACTATTTTTATACTAAAACCAAATTAGAAATCGGCGCGACGTGAGAAAACTCGTTTATGTTAAACGGCTCTTACTATTTTAGTCTACTTTATCTGAACACGTGCCGTTTCATTGTCGTGGTATATTTGATGCTAGGATTTGTGTTTAACGAGAATCAATGCAGATTCTTTAGCAGATCTCGCTATGAAATATGCGAATATTATCAATTATCATTTACTCTTAAAGATAACACTAAATATACTACTATATTAGTAATAACATAATACACTATATTTAATTTATCAATTTAAAAATAATTATATTTCACAAACATATAATATAGCTTAACGGATACATTAATCTTATTAAATAAATTGATGAAACATAATAAGTAAATAATTTAATTATTATATTAGTGACCTATTATATTATTTATTGAAGTTTTTCTTAAAATCTATAAACATATTTTAGTCTAGCTTGATTTCTATAGTAAGAAACCAGCAAAATAAAAAGCTGGTTAAGGAAAAAATAAAGTAGAAAACTATACCTTATAGAAACCAAGTACAGTAAACATCAGCACAGTTTATACCAAGAACAATATAAAGTATAAACCAGAACAGTCTAAACCAGTACAGGAGAAATAATTAAGTTAAAAGCAAATAATAAATCTGAAGGTCTTAATCTTAATTGATACAGTTCAAACCAAGCACAGTAAGAAATTACCAAAAAAGGGTTCAGTATACACACATTTACATCATTACAGTCTAGAATATCTAAGTTTATATATTACATAATTTAGTATACAATAGAAGGGTTTAAAAATGAGGTACTTGGATCTAATTTTGTAGCTCGTTTATAAGCCAACATAGTAAAATGTGGTGGAACTATGTTTATAGACTGATGGTTAAGAAGTAGAAATAAAATATAAAGGCAATAAGAACTATCAGTCGTTGCCTATTAAAAAATAGATTTCTTAGATGACGGATTAGTATAGTATAGGTGAAAAAGTAAAAAAAATATAACACACTAAAATAAGGGTAGTCAAAAGGTGGAAAGTTCCTACAGAATCACATTAAAGAATACGATTCAATGCCAATCTGTGGACACTGGACCCCACAATGGTAATTTCTTACTATGCTGGTTTCTGACTAGACGATTTCTGGATCCAGTGAACAAATACACTAAATTATTAGTATTTTAATCGTTGTTCCAAAAAAAAGTAAAATGTTGTTGTACAGACAATAGTATAATAATGCAAATTTATTAGTGAAACTTTGATAAGCATTGTCACACTACCAAGTTTTCATTTGATTTATTACAAAAATTACAAATCAATTATAGACATACCATAACGTTCATAACATTTTTTTAAGTACCATGTTTAAGTAAAATATTTAGTAATCGTTTTTAATTAAATAGCTGAACTATTACATTGTTTTAGATTATTGTACATACTACAGTCACGTGGTTTACATGAATATTTATAACGTGGTTTATTTGATATGTTTAACCCATGTTATATCATATTGAATCATTTTTAAAGCTATGTAGGTAGTTTACGAATTAGTGTATTAATCTAGAATAATAATAAGAATATGAATATACCATAAGGTTAATTTATAACAAGCTTATTACACGTTTTGAAGTGCTTACCGTCAAGTGTACAATAATTTTACGGCCTGTATACTTAAATTAAGATAGATAAAGTCGGTGTACTATGTATATAACCTAGATAAGTTTTTGTGTTTGCAGACACTTTCAATACGATTATACGTTTTATTTCAGTATACACCAAACTAATTACACAACAGTCGATACTCGATAATTATTTATTTATTGAAGGGCGAGTAGATAAAGGTAGACAGTAGGACGTTCAGCGTTACGGTGGACTACAAAATATATATATTTTTCACCAACCAAATTCCAAAATGTCACCAAAAATAACCACAATATTAATACCACCGCCGACAACGTGCCTAATCAGAACGACCATCAAGCAGTTACTGACTGGCGTGAAATTGACCCACCCCTTATCATATATCAATTAAAACAGTTGATTTTGCCTGAACAACATTAAAAATGTCAAACTGACATAAATATTTTTTTTATCGAGATGTTTGATATTCAAAAAGTAAATAAGACCATTACTTTGAGACTATAGCGATTTTTATAAAAAAAAAATTACTATTTTACATGAACAAGCCAGTCCCAATTAAAGTGCAACCGTTAATAATAACGGTCGTAGATATAATATCATTTTACTCACATATTGAATTTTAACGGTATTCTTGTCGAGGACATAATGGACGAGTTGCGCTTCATTTTGAATTCGGTTCATCCATATTACAAACAAATTGGCATCGTCTGACCATAAAACTGTATTTAATATGAAATCTAGCCTAAAAAATAAATATTAATACGTCTAAATAATTATTAGTTTGAACGTGTGTAGTATAGTATACGTCTAGTATATGTAAAAATATAAAATTTGTATTATGTATATTTATAAAAATATAAAACATTTTATTTTAGGACCTTTAATAGCGGTAGATTTTTCAAAATGCGGATTTACAATAAACTATAGATAGTACTATTTGAAGTCTTTGAAAAAATTTCTAAATAAAAAATGTTTTGTACAAAAAATATGTGTATGAAAACTTACTGAAAAAAAATCGATAAGTATTTAAAAAATCTTATTTTATAAAATTGAAGTTTCGTTTAGCATCAAATACCATAAATAATCAGGATCAAATTATTTGCTAGCCTTAACTAGAGAACTGGGCTAATTATAGACAATTAGTTTTTTATTCAACTGTTGTATAACATTTACGACTCAACGATTTCTAACGATACTCACACGGTCATTTTTTTTTACAAAAAAACACAATATACATAATATAATTAATATGTTAAGTATACAATTTCAGGCTTCTTGTTGTACCATTTAGATAAAATAAGTAACAATAATTATGTTTAACAATTGAAACACGCATAATTACATTAAATACATAGATTACACTACTCAAGTCGTCGCGTCAGTCCAGATGTTTCAAATACCAAACAATTAGGTACAGGTACCACAGTAGTAATTTATATTGTATTAAGACTTTAGATGAATGCAATTTTATGACTATCATTACAAAAACTTACGGTATATCCGGCGGTGGGCGTATTTCGACAGAAGAGCCGGATTGTAAATCGTTTACAAATAGTTCTACATTTGGATTAGGCGTACCGACCTGTGACATAAATATTAACAAATAATTTTTGTTTGCATACACACAAATGGAATAATCATTCACACCTTTGGATAATGAATGGCAAACGTAGATGGGTACTGATATTTAAGCGATCCCGGTATACCGTACAGTGGTATTTGCATTATTGGTATTTGTGTGTCGTTAAAAGAAGCATACGCTAACATAGTAGCTCCTTTTGAAAACCACATTGCCGAATTCGTACTGAATACTTCCTCTAAAAGCAACGATCAAAATAAATTACTTATGTATTATGCGTTGCAAAACGTTCAATTAGTTGATATTTTAAATTCATAGATTGTCAACATAACTTAATACATAAAACACCAAACAGTAAAAATATTTACTAGAAGTTCGGGTTAATTAATTAATATTATTATTAGTTCCGAAGTAATACTTATAAAAAAAAAATCTATTAGCTGATACGTTTAAACTTAATTTTTAATTGAACATAAAATAAACGTTTAAGAGCTGATATTGTGCATTACAGATAAATGTTCGTTTAGGGGGAAAAAATAACACACCTTCATACACCCAGTCGGGGATGCCGTTGATTAGTTCAAAACCTCCAGTAAAAGATATTTGTTTTTCCGATTTCAGATCGGAAACTGAACTTATATAGAATATGTTATTTTGTTCTACTAGCGCAAGGCCTTGGCCGACGGGTGACCATTTTGCCAGCTGCAAATCTCTGGCCTTAGTAATATTATTAGAACTTTTCGCGAGCAACGTTTCTTGTTCTCTAAAGAATAATAATATGACAGTGTAATAAATAAATAAATGGTTAATAAATGTCATGTATAATATAAAAAAACATGAGATTCAATCAATTACTAAGCAAAGACAATAAATAAAGCATTTGTGTCACTCAGCACTCTATACGTATATCGATGACTTAGAGCAACGGTGTCATACCTATGTGCATATTATAATAATTGTCTGTTACATATTTTACACATTAAACCCCGAAAATTCATAGTTTTGTTGATAACAAAAATAGGAGTTTATTAACACATGCAATGATATAGTATTAATAATTGTCAAACATAGTTCTTGTAAAATGTAAATAAGTACAATAAAGCATCTGAACATAATATACCAACAATATAATTAAATTAACATTTCTCACTTTGTGTTATTTTTATTTTTATGGAGTTTATAGAAAGAAAATTTAAATTTTTTACTAAACAAAAATGATTATGGTCGACTGGTTCCAAAATAATAATCGTTAATTTAACAGCATGATAATATTTAAAAATCATAATTTTTATTTAATATAGCTCAGAAACATCTATATTTCACAATTTGTTTTCTTATTAAGTCTGGTTTTAGACTGATATATCGATAATTTCTTAAATAATGCTGCGTCGTTAAATATACGCAATTTTTTTTTTTTTTTTTGTTAAAAAATATCAGTGCTTTGTACAAATTACTAAAAAAAAAATTAAGCCAAAAATATTCGACTGGTTAAAATTAGTAGAACATTTTGGTGGTTACATTATATTATATATATATATATATATATATATATTTCATTAATTCAATTTACTTTATACATCAAAAATGTATTTTATATGTATAAAGTAGAAATCGTTTAAACGGCGTTGAAGGAACGACAAAATTAAGTATATTGCGACTACAATAATAATAATAATAATAATAAATGACAACTAAACGTTATTTTATAGTTTAATCAATTAAATAAATCGTACTTTGGACAAAAACCAAATTTTTTTCAAATGTTAATAGAATATTTAAGTAGTTAACTTAAATAAATGTTTATTTACAATTGTAAAGTGTGGTTTAGGCATATTGAACTTGGCTTTTGAAATATTTTCAGCATAGATTAAGATGGTCGTTTTAATTGATTTTTGTAATCTTATAACGTACTACACGGACTCTGTCTAAGCACATTCACAGTCACACCACTCAGTCCCGAGCCAATTTCCTTAGAATATTGTTTCTGGTTCACAACTACTATGTCTGACTAGGACGAATAAGGCCGTTCTTCCACTTGGGCGATGCGATTTTAAAAAAATAACCACCTAGCAAAAAACTAACCTATGTTTTATTGCGCGATTATTAAAGAAAATTAATACAAAAAAAAAGCCCAACTAATCTCTAGTCCAATACATTTAGGCGGTCAAACCCAAATCCGGTTTACTTCTTCAGGGCGACCTCGAAATAATTAATGCGTTTTAAATGGGTAAACTTTGTATGTTTATATATCCATAGGTACGTTCCGCCGTATTCCACCTACTTTCGCCACCGGTGATCGATGAACGAGTTAAATTGAAAACGCCAAAAACCGAAATCCCTTTGGACATATTTTAATTTAGTCGTTTTCTCATTATCGGATTTGAAGTCCACCGTGGACCATAAAATTAAATCCATTCTAGCTAGTTTAGTCATACATATATATTATGTATTCAACTATTAAATATATGGATAAAAACACAAACCGGACATATTAATAATTAATATTTTTTAAGTACAGCAAAATGTTTTAAACTAATGGACAAAAAATTATTTTCACAATAGTTTTAAAATATATTAACTGTTTTATACTTTTCTATATTACAAACGGAAAATTGTTTAAACCGGAGTGCATAGAATAAATAGAGGCCGGTTTTATTATTTTTTTTTTTAATAAAGCATAAATGTAAACAAAATAGTATGCGGTAAGCAGTTAATTGAAAACACGTGCATTGAAAATAAAGAATTAGATATTTTGGTGATTAAAGGGTGGTAAATTATTTCATTACACTTATTACTGTTAACTATAATTAAGTAATAATTTGTATTATTCATAAACTATGAAAATACCGCCAGGCGTAAGTAATAAAATAACTAATGCCTAAATACCCCACATAACGTGTGGTACAACAATTTAGTAGATTGTTTGTAAAATTAAGTAATCATATAAAAATTATAGCTAAATTATATTTAGCTATAATTTTTTTTGTAATGACAATGTCATCAAAATTATCTGCAATCATAATTCCTATCGCTCGTTTTCAATTCTAACGTGTTCTAACTCGAAGGCTATGCCGATAAACTAATTCTTTCCTAATATTTCTAAGGTAAATGATGGCAACGATAAGCCCGTGTCATCTTCCATAAACATCGAGATATTAGATTAATATTTAAGCCTACGAAATCACCAAAAAAGTATCATTCGCCGGTTCGTTTTAATCAACTCAAGATGGGCAATCAAAATGGTTTCTGCGTTTTAGCTGCCTGTTTGGCCATGTTCATTGCATCGGTAAGTAATTTTTTCACTAAATCGTATAAAACGTATAAGATACTTACCGTGTTTAAGCGTGAACACGATGTATAATATAAATAGTATAAATTTAAGTACACAAAGAACCACTAGGAACAAAAAGAAAAAAATCAAACATCACAAATTGTATTCTACCCTTTGTATATTTAACAAAGACAAGCGCTGTAAAGAATATCACCTTGTTTGCATTTTGCGCAAACCAATAACGTTAATTATTTTCCATTATAGATAGATGCCGTGTTGAAACCTATACCACTACCCGTGCCATGTTTCAAGCCTATTCCAATACCCTGCCCGGTGTCATCCCATTTAGGGTCCGATAGTTTGTCGGCCAAACTAAACTCATTGCTACTGGCAAAACTGATCTTGAAAAAAGGTTTGAAACCAGTACCCGCTCCATACTTGCTGCCTAGCTGCATTCCTCCAAAGCCGTTCTTACCACTTCTTCCACCGCCACCACCGTGCGTTTCACCTTTGCCTTACCTGCCACCATCAGTCCTGCCCTTTTTGGCCCAGCCATGTACCCCTTCTATACTTCCCCCGTTATCCTTACCATGTCCATCCTATTCTCCATTAGCTTCCATAGCCCCCTTACTCGCCTCTTTATCTTCCCCTTGTCTACCACCACCACCTACTCCATGCCAATCTTCCTCATCCATCGCTTCCTTACTCTCCTTACTCTCGTCTTTGACGCTTCCAAATCCCGTTCCAACCTGCCAACCTACGCCACCCCCGTTGGAACTAATTCCGATCCCGACCACACCGATCGCTCCTACAGTTCCGTTTCAATCAGAGCTATTATTGCTCTCGCTCATTTTATCTGCCCCCAACACCTTGCCACCGCCATCTTGCGGGTGCCAACAGTTGTGTTCACCACCCCCTCCAGTCTGTGGTTGTTAGCTGATCACATAGTTTAAAAGACTGAATTGCTTCAACATTCGTTACTCACGCTATTATTATTATTATTATTATTATTATTAACGTTATTAAAATTATTATTGTCGTTATAACTGTTATATTAATATTGTAATATTAAAACCTCGATTCTAATCTATTTGTATATTTTATCATTTTAAACTGTTCTATTTGCACCCCACGGTTTCCCGTGTTCCTTTATTTTTTTAAATCGGAACACCCTGAGATATAATATGTATGTATACAATTACAAAAGCACAAGCGTTTTACTTTTAAATATAGAAAACATCTTACCCGGTCTTAACGTTGATCAAGTCATAGTTAGCTATAAACGAGTGCCTATAAACCTGAATATTTGAATATTTTAATCATTTACTGACAGTACAACGATGATAACAGAATAATAATTGTGATAAAAGAACAAAACGTGGCTGCTTTTACCTTACGGTAGTGATAGGCTATCAGAAGGTATTCTTTGTCCGCCGACAATTCGTAATGGAAACATTTTGCGACGTTCTGTAATTACACGAAAAAATAAACAAATGACATAGAACATGATACAGCAAGTCCAGTAAAATAAGACAGCATATATTAGTAATGATAGCTACCTGAGTATTGTTCGATGCCAAAATGGTTTTGTTTGAGTTTCTAACATCCAGCAAAACGATATGGCCGTCGTCGTCCTTCATTAATATTTCCGCATCTACTCGAAATAATTTAAATAAGTGACATAACCAACACGATATTAATCACGAATATATATATATTTAGAGAAAGAGATAGTCGAGAGAGTATTATCTTACCCGAAACCCACGTTCCGTTGAAAAGATTCGGTTCGTAGCCGCCGTTCATTAGTTTTAAAAACTCTAACGTTTCGATGTTGGTTTGAGCTTCGGGTTTATTGAATATGTCGGTGGTGAAGTAGACTAGCCCACCGAGTACGGCGGCAACTGCCAAGACAATCAGTAAAAATGTTAAAGGCCGGTTCTTCACATTCCATACGCATTTTTCCTTGAAAAAAAAACCATTATCGGTTACATAGTTGTACGTAACGTTTAATCAGTAAAATGGTTTTCGAAAAAAAATTATTTTTAAAGAACATAGACCTTAATATACTACTAGACAGAGCATCCGGGTAGGATGCGGGCGGGTGGTGCGAGCACGACTATTGTCGTAGCAGTGATACCACTGCGAAATGTATAAATTAATGTTTAACGAATTGTACATCATTATTTTGTACAACGTGCAATACATTTATAATAAGACTTTATAAAAAAAAGTACTCACGAGTGGAATTTTCTTCCAATGTTACAATATTACTGCATTACAAATCAAACACATTATTTTACCCATTTAAAAAAATTATACGTACACGGTATACAAAAGTAAAATAACAAGTTAAATATTTAATGACCGAAAAATAGCTGTCGACTCAAAATTTGATTTTATCGGCATTGAAAATTTAATTATCAGTCACGGGCCGCGACATATCATTAATCATACAATAATTTTTAAACCGTGCACCATATTTTTTAAATTAGGAACTCAAATACGCATGAGCAGACACCTCATGACGTCATCGAGTACCGTTGTCAGCGCAGCTTGTTGGTTCGCTGACACTACATACATATTTCAAGTAGTATAAGGTCTATGTTAGAGAAATACATTTTTATTGCATACCGATTACCGATATCGACATTTTGTGCGCTGGTTTTAACTTCAACAGATCAACGAGTCCTACGTGCGCAAATACCCCGTTAAATCGTTTCTCATACCATAAATCACATGTTGTTAGCGACTAATGAGCTTCACATTATGTTATCATTATTATTTAATTTTTAGTAGCGATAACAATAATTTTACTTTGATAATATAAGTGGCAAAAACGATTGCTATAATTTTTTTGAGCTAATTTTAGCAGAATGCGAAGTTATTAGTTAAACTTTAACACTCGTAAACTATGTTACTAGGTAGTAGGTACTGTTGAACTAGCCAAGCAACGTATAATTAAAATCCGACCTAAAAAAATTCGTTATCGCGCTAATTACTAACACTATTTGTCGCAAAGTTACATTTAACCATAATTTTATTAGGAAGTAATATCTTTTTCGCTTAATTAGTTTTAGCCCAACCCATGAAAATGTTCATTATTTATTATTTTACTCAACTTAATTTCTTTTTGCACAATTTTGCTATTATGCAATTGTTTATTTCATAATAGTACCTATAATATAATGTTTTTTCTATATTGAAAGTATTAACCTGATGAGTTTGCATTCAATTTAGCAGGCGATTTTTATGTTCTTCGTTTTTTTTGCTATGATAATTGCATATTTAATAAAATTGAATAATGAAACACCTAGATCCGCCCAACTCTTACGCCACTATACTATAGAAAGATTATATGAGCTTTTTTTGTACGGCATTTAATGTAAAATCAATTTAATATAAACACTCTATTTAACTTAAATATAATTGTATAATATTATCTATTAGAATCAGACCAGGACTAAGACACGAAGAAGCCTCAGGCCAAAAAATGTACAGGACACCACAAAAAATTAGTAATGTACATACATAATTTTAGTATAATAACTAATGAATAATAAGTGATGATCTAAACTAAACTATAACACTTCCCCCTCACTAACTCAGGTATTTATTTTACGTTTAATCGATTAAATTTATTTATATATAATCTAATCAAAAGACCACTTCTTCCCCTTAAAAATTGAAAACACATCCTAAAAAGTCATAAATTATTTAAGTATAAAAAATATTATATTGCACATAATTATGTAGAGTGTATTTGGAATTCTTTATAAAATGTACAAGTTATGCAATATTTTTGCTAAGAACATCACTAATAACCTACTCGTCAACTACGATTGTAGGTACTATGCACATGATTAAAAAGTAAAACAAGTACTTTTTACAAGGTCAAGTTCACCTAGTGTGAATCATAAATTATGCAAAACAGTTACTTGTGTATATTAAGGAAAATAAGAAAAAATGATTACGTGTACATAAAAAAAACCAAACATTGTTTTGAAGTCATATCTATAAAACAAAATTTTCCAGCTAATCGTGGTCTTAGCTTTGAATAAATTTTACAATGCAAGTTACAATTTTATGTTTTTTATTACAATAATTTTAATTTTAAACGTAGGTTCTCCTAAACAAGATGTTTGGAAACTAACTGTCGTACTTCATAGGATCATAGTCTATACGAGGGATTTAAAATAGAATTATAATTTTAAACATGGATATTAAGTTTTTGGTCTGGACATACAATCGAAATTTGCGTTACGTTTTTATGTCACGTAATGACTTATGACGTCATTTAATGGCTGAGTCTGGTGTGTTTAGCGCGACCGGTACACAGTTCAATTCCCGTCCGTAATTTTAAACTTTTTGCATTATTTATTCTCTAATTAAAAATTAAAATTATCTCGTATCATTATTATTCTAGAAAGTAATCAAAAATATATCCATGATTTAATGTTTTTCCGCTACAAAACGGAAAAAATTCACAGTTTTATCTCTAAATAAAAATGTTTTCCAAAAAAATGATTTAAACAACAAATGAATTACTTTATGCTATATTCTGCAAAACATTTCTTACTAATTGATACATTTTGGGGTATTCCAAATACACTAAAACTTTTCCAAAAATGTTATATTTTTCTAACAAGTTTTATTTCTTCTTACTCAATCAAATTTTACGTTTACCGATGAGTAATAACATTATTTTACATTTTATTGCCTGGTAAATTAATGTTTAAAAAAAAATTAAAATCCCATATTTTCCAATAAATTGACATTGTTAAGTGACATAGCCACATACAAGATGATTTTGCGGGAAAATTTACAAGGCCATTTTAGGCGGTCTAACGGCTTCCTATTCCTAATGCCCGAGTTAAAATCTGAAATTAAAATATTTTATTATTATTAAAAAAACCAAAAAAATAATGCAGTGATTTTATATCTTGGATGACTTTTTTAAATTTGATAGCCAAAAAGATATTTTTGATATGTGTTCTTCTTTGACATATTTTTTACAAGGTGATTTTTTTTTTGTCTGAGATCATAACAATTTTTTTTCCTGTGGAACGATTTACTCGAGTAACACTTCTATCGATCCGTAATCCTTTACGATTAGTCCCTTGGTAGGTCAAAAACAGAAATGTCCACCCTTTCATCTTCAAATTGAGAAAAACACCCAAAAAAATACATATTTCTAAACTCAAAATTACGACACGCTAAAACTTTATAATAGTCAAATGAGTTCCAATTTGCATAAAATATTGTTAAAAGGGGTGAAAACGTTTTATTTTTTTATCGAATTCGAGCAAAGGCAGATCTAGTGATATAACAGACTATAACATGTATAATAAAAACAAAACAAAAATTACACTGACCGTGAGTTCCTATGTGTAAATCAACAGTCATCAAATATTTGAAAATATTTTTATTATATTGTTAATTATGATACATGGGTATCATAATTAACTACGGCAACAAATTGTTTTAGACAATTCTTATCTATATATATAAAAATGAATGTCTGTTTGTTTGTCCTTTATGCATTAGTACACCATTCATCCGATGGCCATGAAACTTTGGGAAGTTGTTGAGTCCACTCCCGCGAACCTAACTGTTATAGTACTTTTCGAAAATTCCACCCTTAAGGATGACCTCAAACACGAACTTTGTACTTTAAATACGAAATGTAAATAAATTAAATGTTTATTATGTTTGGTAATTACTGTCGATCTTCTGGATTTACATATATGAGTAAAAAATATTGAAAAAAACTAAATAAAAGGATGTTTGCAAGGCTCTATTAAAAGTTTTCACATAGGTATTACATATTTATATTTTAACAGCTTGCGTACGAGTCCGCACACCACGGGATACATTTTTATATTTATGTATCTAAGGTGGCTAGTAAACATATCAAGTTTCTGGCTAATATTTTAGTGTTTTCATAATATCGGGCCCAAAACAGTTCATAGAGAATTTGGCCCAATAAATTTTTGAATTTATTATTCATTTCTATTTTGAACGTTGTGAATACAACATATATGCTCCACCCCCATTCCCAACCCCATCCCTTATCTCTAATCTCCTATCTCTTACCCATATCTCCTTTATTATATCACATAAATGTAACATCCCCATCCCCATTCCACCCCCATCCCCATTCCCACTCTAAGAAGGACATATAAGGATATAAGAATATAGAAGGATATATATATATGGATAAATTTTCGACGTCGGTGTCGATTTTTCCGGTTGTGTTCCAAAGTAAAAACCATATATTTTAGCTCTTTCTCTTATCTCTCTTATCTTATCAGATAAATCAACTGATTTTTTCGTTATGATAACCGGTGTCGATTGTTAATGTCGATTTTTTCGTTTATGTGCCAAAGCAAAGACATAAAAATGTCAATAATTCATATAGACCAATAATACGCTCTGTTCCCACTATGCCCCAACCCCACTGTACTGGCTTTTTTATTTTAATAATTTTATTATCAATATCACTTACGATTTATAAATTAGCATAGGAACATTTTTTAGAGTGATTCTTAAAGACTGTGATTTTTTTTAGATAAACGCCGTTGCATATCACTAGAAATTTAGCAAGTATTAAAATACTCACTGATATGAAATGTAATTTTACTTAAACGTTAGAAATAATGAAATGTGACAAAATAAGTTCATACAGTCAACAGATCTGTTGACAATTAGGCTACAGAAACTTCTATTCACTTATAATTTTAATTATTATTATAACAAAATTATAAATAAATTACAATAATAAAACAAATTAATCTTGACAAATACTTTACTAATATTGTAATATTTATAACAGCTTCACTAATGCATGTATTCACAAACAGCGTCAAAAATTATTTGTTTAAGTTTTTAACTTAAAAAAATTGCAGTTTTTTAGTTTCTCTTGCGATTTTAAACTATATTATTATTTTACATAAATATGTATT